GTGACGATACAAGTTCGTCTGTTATTTAATCCAGCCGAGAATGCCAGATTAGTTTTCACTGTTGAAAACAAAGTACGATGCCAGCCATCCCTCCGACCCATGGCGGCAATTTATTGGTTTCGCTATGCAAGCGCTGAAAATTAGATAACAATAAAATAGTGTTAATTTGGCAACATTCATGCCGTTCGCCTTTCACCATCCGAAAAACAAAACACATCCGAAACATAGTGGCTTCTTATGTGTGGCTTATATTTTTTTTCTCTCGCTGGCCGCTGAATATAAATTGAAACCATTTAAAATTTGGCAATGAATTTGTAAACATGAAACCATAATTTGAAGGTTTCATTTTTCCTTTCGGTTGGGGCTGAAAAATCTACGCCGAAAAATCCTAAACCTCGGTGCTCAATGGAGAATATGCGACGACTGAATTTTGTGGAGTCACGTTGTATGTATGGCACACATCTTTGTTTTGCCCTCGAATCTCTATTTCATGACACAAGTTTCGGCTTTATGAAGTGGCTAAATAAGAGTGGAAAAAAGAGAGCATAATGTAAACAATACCCCAAGAGACAAGCAAAATACCTAAAATCATGGAAAAAGCGACAGCAAGAGCAAAACACAGAGAGAGAGAAACACACACCGACAACGCAGAACGGAGAAGAACGGCGAAAAAAATATATAAATGACGTCGAGCAGAGCGAAGATAATAATAAAATATTACGGCTGATGGCATGCATTGTTGAACCAAAAACTCTAATTTATAAACTGACTGCCATGTAAAATCCATTATTAAATTACACGTGTAATTTTAAATAATTTAACTTTTATAATATAATATAATGAAAAATTGGCTCAAGTGAAGATGAAATGTGATGCCAGAGAAATGAGAGACATGCACACACAGCAAATAGCTGAGCAAATATGAGCTAGGCAAGGAGGAGAACGAGGTGGAAAGAGTGAGTTTGTGTGTGTGTGTGTGTGTGTGTTTATGGTTAAGTTACGGACACAAATACTGTTTGCATGTTTCCAACGATTTTGTGGCATTACGCATCTCACTTATCCGGTCCTCCGGAGCGAACGTGGGTATATAAGTGTTGGTGATGAATGTGTACACCAGCAGCAACAATTTTTAAGCTCATATACTGCAAATAATCTCACATTCAAAGTCACAAAATATCATTCATGCCACTGTTGCTGCTGTTGCTATTGCTGCTATTGCTCTACGACAAATACTGCTTCTGTTGTCTACCGACGCTTGTCGTTTCACTTCAACCACGTCACACTGCATGGAGCACATAATTTTCAGTTGTTTGCAGCAATGTATGACATACAATTTTAATTAGTGCTTGAGTCCGTATGAATTTATTCACCTATCCTAGTGTGGCTCCTTCTCGGTTTTCTCACCGGCACAGGGTGCATTCGAGAATAGTTGGAATTTGATACTGATGAAATCGTGCCAAATCAGTTTGAATCAAACTTTTCATTTAGCTTTTTTCAAGATTTGATATTGTATTTGGTGTAAATAAATTTCCTTTTTTTTTCTTAAAAACATTGGAAATTTTGAGCATTTTTAATTTTCAATGAAATGAGAATCACGTTATAATTCAATCATATCTCTGATCTACGTCAAATGAACTCATTTCAGTTCTATGTAATTAGAATATCTCCTGTCGTTGTAAATATGAATATGAATATTAAAGTATCAAATTCCCTTCTTCTGCACACCCTGCGGCAATGAAATTTATGATTTCAAAAAATATTTTCTACAAATGTACGAAGTTGGACGATCATCTTATGCGAAGTATATTGTGGTATATGAACGGTGAATGGTTATGCCGCATGGGCTCATAGATAAAGCGTGAAAATGGTGTTGTTGCTATTTTCTCTCTCTCTCTCTCTCGCTTTCGGTTGTTTCCTTACCTCTTTTGGTGGAAATAATGTTCAAATTCATAAATATTTATGGGCCAGCTGGAAAATGAACTAAATGCCGTTCATTTTTGGACACACATTATCCCGGAACGTGCCCACATTCTCAAAACCGAAAATAAATTATTTGCACTGGTAATAAATTGTTTGCAATTTCGGCACGTGAACTAATGTGAAATTAAGTGCTGTATGCAATGGAAAAATGCCTCGGCAACAACAATGATTTTTAAAAAAAATTCGCCATTGATGTGAAAAAGCGATTAAACTTGCGAATTGATGCAATCTAATTAGAAATATACGTGTTCAAAAGGCTTTGGAGGGTTGAACGTGAGGAGTTGACAGAGTGCGTATGTTTTGCCACCATTGCTGTCACAATCTAAAATCGGTCCTTAGACACATTAAATATTCAAATCGAAGAGATTGAAATTATACGATATCCGTCACCGACTATTAATGTGAGAAAATCGTATTCATTTTTCCAGGTGTTGGTGACGATTTATCGCATAAACTTCAATTAATTTCTGAACTAACACATAGCCGTGCGATAACAATAAAACCGTACACTATTGTCGTGCATTCCAATGCATTGCATACGGTGTGAGAGATGGACGGCTTTGCTCGTTTGTTTGCTATTATTTTGTATGAACTATGATCTATAGAAATGATAATGATGGACACAAAAACACGGGCCATTGTCAAGCGTTTCAAGCGGAACGATTATAATATAATGACGGCCTTGTTTATGGCGCGCGTGATTGTTTGTGTGCAACGTCCGATAAAATCCATTCAAATTGATAGCTTTTAAACATGAACAATAATTTGTTTATCAGTTGTGAGTGAATACCACACTGTGTGAACAATTAGCCAACAAAATGGGGATGAAAAAAAAGCGTATCTAAATAATAATTGAGAATGAAAGCAAAATGTCTCAACTTTAAACAATATTTTCTGCCGCTGTTAAGCATCTGTTTCGAGTTATGAAGCATGGAATGAAACAGAAATATAATGGGAATTTTTCCTGTTATCGCCCTTTCAACATCTCTTAAACGTTAATAAAATCAAACAGGGAAATATGCTCCACTTACCCGCTGCTGCGAAGAAAAATGTACACGTCACCGAATGGCAGATAAGACTCATTCATAATTTCCCATTCACGCGAGAACACTTTATGTGCGACGTGATTTTTCTTCTTCTCACTCGGCAATTATTTGAATGCGCGCGCTCATTTTCATTCAACAGTTTAACAAACGGGAGCGCGCGAACGACTGTTCCGTTATCTCGCTCTGCTATCGCCTGAAAATTATTTGCTCTGTCACACAAAGCAAAATCGTAATTCAACGCCAAGAAGTCCACAGCCACATTTTCTCAAACACAATGTTTTCCTTTTGGATTGTGCGGTTTTGTCATCATCAGAAAGAGAAAGAGAGAGAGAGCAATTCTCTCTTGAGAGAAATAGATAGAAAGAGTGGAAGAGGAACGAAAAAAAATCACAGCGAGAAAATATTGCGGTACAACAACAGGAAGTGAATAAGTAAGCGAGACCATCACATTTGGTGCTTTCATCTTTCGCACCAAACGTGATGAAATGATCAGTCGCCGCTGCTGTTATCTACCACAACAGCATTTCGAGTGGATTCTAACTTTGACAAAAGGGACATTCTCCGGCGCATAGCATTCAAATGTGTTGTGAAATATGGCATTTATGAATTAAAATTTTATCGATTCGAATGTTGTTCGAAGAACTTAAATCGATAATAACAATATCATAATTTCGGGCAAAAATAATCGGAGCATTGGTGTGCGCAGCGGGAGTGAGACGAGATGGAGTTGGCGCTATAAACTTTGTAATAATTCAAAAATGTTTAATTCAAAATATTTCCGCTTTATTTGAGCATATCAGGAAATGAACAGGATTTGTGCAATTTGGCTCGAACAAACAACGGCCATGAATGGGCAACGCAAAAATATGACGGAGAAAAACACAAAACGAAAATAATAATAAACAAAAGGGGAAAAAAGTTTGTATGTTTTTTTTTTCGTTCATTCAGCTCGTCTGGTGTGTACAAAACGCAAATCGACAGTATCAGATTGAAAATGCAAACACAGCAACACAATGGCCGAACCGAACCGAATTTATTTGTTTCTCGTTTTTTTTCATTCTCTGTCTGTCTCTGTATTTTTCGATCTCGGGGAAATTTGAAAGCACAACAACGACACAACCCGGTCTCGCTCGTTCTCGCTGCGACTGTGTTTGTGTCGAACAAATTCAGTGGAAAACAATACGAAACTTCGTCAGCAAATTGAACAATTCTCAGTTAATCTGCAATAAAACAGCTGTTACCATTGAATACGCTGCACTCACACACTGACATCCACACGCCGACATTCCAACCACCAAAATGACCAGCAGCAGCAGCAGCAGCAACAGCATCATCATGAAGAACAAAAGAATTAACGATAACCGAAATGAAAACGTACACAAAACTTACAAGAAAACTATATTGCAACATGCACGCTCGATGCATCTAAACAGATTGTCATTTGTTCGGGTGAATTGGTCATTTTGGCAACGATGATCAGCCAAACGAGAGAGGCAAACGAGTGTGTGTGTGTGTGTGTGTGTGTGTGTGTGGGGAGAGAGACTTTATCTAAGTTTGTTGCTTATGAAGGAAAAATTACTTTACAAACCGGTTGGTTATATTGATGGTGATATTACGAACTCAAGCGCTTTATTTTGTTCTTGTTGTTGCTGTAATCGTTTCCAAAAGACAAACAAATCGAAATGGTTTCGGATATCAAATTATTCTGCTTGAGAAATTATCAAGTTTTTAAGTTTGAATGGTTCTTTCGGTTTCGGTCGAAAAATAAGTTTTACCAATTTTCATCCTGGGTTTTACCAATTTTCATACCAATTTTCATCATTCCATTGGAACTCTCTTCCAAACGAAGTTTTCACTCCTTCCTTTACTATACAATTTTTCCAACCAGAACATCATACAAAGAGCAATATGGACAATTTTCGATAACACCAACTAATTTGTCCAAATATGACAACACAAATGAAAATGCACCAATTTCGCTTTATTAGTTATATTTTTATATATGCTTTTTATTAATTACAGTAATCATATAATCATGACATTGGGTTTTAGTGTAATTTAATGTGATTTTTTTTTTTTTGGTTTTTGTTTTTGTTCGTTTTGGGTTTTTGGAAATTGTTAATGGCCACGTGTTATCATATTATTATTATTTCGAACGTACATGGTAATCATGGTGTGTGTGTGTGGCATATAATCGGGTTTGATAGTTATACAAAATGTCATTATAAATACATTTAATTGTACACGTGTTTTTCTCATTTGATATTTTATTTCACTTTTTTTCTACGTTTGCTCACTGTGTCTCTATTTCCCGTTCATCATTTTCTAAATTGTGAATAATAATTTGACTAAATATGATGGAATTTCGCGACCTGTGACCAGCATGCGCGACCATCAAAACATGGTGATATGTGAAAGGGTTTGAAACTGAATCGGGAAAATTGAAATGAAATTAAGCAGTAAATCCACCTCAAAAACCATCATCAATTTGCCCTAAAGCATAGAATTCTAATAGAGACTCTAATCATAATTTCAAATAGATTTTCATAATGACAGACATAAACCAATTTGATTTCTCTCTCTCCTCAACAGAAAAAAAAAAACAAACTAATACGGGAAAACGAGAAAATGAAACTTCAACAATTTTATAATCTTTGCAATTCATTCTACACCTTATTGAATATTCTACTATTATACATTCATTTCAGTTTAACTCTCTATCCTGCCTTTGTGATGGAGAGAATTTCAATAGACAAAGAAAATGCAATATAATTCGATTTTTCCCATTTCTATGAGCAAACAGCAATTCAAATGGCATTTCTGACTAAATCTTTCATCTAAGTTAAGATGATTTAATTTATGAAGAAGCATAAGTTTTGTTTGTAACTCTCTTTAAGAGATTTAATTTTCGAACATATGCACATCGCATACACATACACACACATCGGCATTTAGCATATGCATGAAGTAGTTGAGTGTATTTACAAGTTGTTCAAAGAGACTCTCAAGATATTTGCTGCATAATATGCAGTCGAATCAACACAATCTGTTGTTCCGAAAACTCGGTACAAGATTTCTCTTGCAGCCCAAATTCTCTGGAATTATTATGTTCAGTTGGAAAATGTTTTGAATTTGAAATCTCTCTCAATGTGAATTGCAAAATGGGTTCGGAGAAGGAAAAAAAAAATATAGATGAAACGTATTAGCAATTGTGTGAGTGTGTCTCGTTATTATGAGATTCACATCCGGAGTAAATACACATTGCAACGCATCCAGTTACACTGGATAAACCGTGTTGTTGCATTGACCATTTCAAATATTAATTTAATATACAAAATCGAACAAGTAGCTGAATTTATGTCACTTTACATAATATTTCTACACAGATTTATGCTAAACTGATTTTCATTCCACATCGTTCTGCTTAAATACCAGCGATTCGGCGTTTGCATGCCAGGCATAAAATGAACACATACTGAATGGCTTGTATGGCTTTACATGTTACAGGATGGCAAGTGCGAAATGTAAAAAAAAACACATTCGCTTCTATGCACGGTGCCAACAGAGTACAGTCGCAACATGCGACAACTTTAACATGTTCTATGCTCACCGCATTATGCACTTAAATCGGCGAGAAGAGACCATGCTGTGTGTCGATGCTAGTAAAGTGGAGTCAGGAATTTGGCTAATACTGACATTTTGATATCAAAACTGACCAACATTTGATTATTATGCGATGGAAAATTAATTATTACGCAGTTTGTCAATAATAGTAAATGTTCCCATATTGCAAAAAAGAGCTAACCATTCTGACTCCCTTTTTTCCACGCAAAATTCCCCGAATCGCTGTTAAATGTCATGAATGCATTTGATTGGTTTTGCACTATGAATGTACTTGTTGGATGTGCACTACGTTATTGATACATGAGCTAGATTCAGTTTTGTGTCCATTACATGGTGGCCGTTCCGTATAATTTTAAATAAATTTTCCGCTTACAAGAGTCCTTTTTATAAATTGCATCGAATCATCTGCACACAGTTGATTCATCGCCGGCACAGATGCTATGGGACATGGCTAAGAACAACTTGCCATTCGAACAAGCGCACAGTTGATAGATTTTGTGATGGTGGTGCGGTGGCTGTTGCTGCTGCTGTTGGCCAAGCTGATGGTGATGATCATACGTCGATGGTAGCGCTGACGACGATGATGACGTACCCGCCGGTTGAACTATCTTTAAATTTGGCATAAGAATACTAGCAGAGTCCAATCGAATCTGTTTGTTTGAGGAAGAATAAGAGAAAGAGAGAGAGAGAGAGAGAGAGAGAGAGAGAGAGAAAAAAAAGGAAGAGCAAAAGGGCGAAAAGGAGAGAAAATCAAACGACGAATGAATAAATAGATTTAAATTAATACACAAACGTAAATCGTTGGGATTTCCATGTATAACATTTTCCCATACCGAAAAGGCAATGCATGTTTGCCAAATCCCGGCCATTTTAGAAATTCATAATGCTATCGATAGAGAGAGAGAGAGGGTAGTGAGAGAGAGAGAGAGAGAGAGAGAGAGAGAAAGGGAGAAACAGAGCGATTGAAAAAAAATCGGCTCAAGCATTTGATAGCTCTCAGGTGCATTTGATTGCCCATATTGGAAATGAAAGGAAATGAAAATGTGCAGCAATATTGGCATATCACATCTATTGAAACAAATCGCATAATAGAATTCACATGGAAAACCGATTGAAATTGCTATGGCACACACAAGATTAACTGTCGAATTATCGATTTTCTCACTGTGAATTCACAATGGACACATCGACAATTGGCATGGAGGATGTGGTCATATCGACTTTAATTAAATATGATGCACGTTAATTAAATTAGTAAAATTTGTACTTACACTGCCTTCCGATTGAATACGAATGTCGTTAAGGCAACTGGCATCAATATTGCCCGCACCAGACTTGATGAAAATATCTTTGCCAGCATTTATTAGCAACGATCTGGTTGGCGATTCCAGCCTGTGCTCATCGAATAAATCAAGGAAATTAGAGGCACATGATCAATAATAATCTTACACGATTTGTATTTGTTTCGAGAGACCAATGGACGAAGTGACAGAAGTAATGAAGTGGTTTTTGGATACATACTTGAGCTCTTTGCCCGGTTCGGCTCTTATCAGTGGCGTTTGAATTGATTCTCGAAACACTGCACCACCTTCTCCTTCCACATTCAGCGCATTCGCTCCAATTGATACCTCGTTCTTATTCACTGAAAACAACATTGCGCCATGCGTATCGATAACTTTGAAATGATGTGACAGTATTTCCAACTTGTCGTGACCCAAAAATAAACGGTTGTCCAAACGGCCTTCGTAGTCTCGCGTATTGATTGAGAAATTCTTCGAAGATTCTAACAGAAAAAGTACGATGAAACGAAATTCAAATGAAACTTAGAAACGGTCTGAGTAACACATTTGAAAGAAAATAGCTCTTGAGATTTTGAATAGTTCACTCAATTTCTGGCTACTGTGTCAATTCAAAAATACTAAAATGAGGTAAAAGCACGAGTAAAAGAATCCTACCTATTGTAATTGGTTGACCGTGTCTGGATCGGATTGATGAAGCTCGTAATACATCTAAGAAGAGTGCTTGACCCGATAATTGTAATCCGCCAGGTACGATTTTTAATTGACCCATTCCATCCTGAATGTCGAAGCGCAAATTGAAAAAAAAATCAAATTATGCAAATTAAATCAAAAGCGCGTGGAATAAATGAATGAAAGCAAAAGCAAAACGGGACCAAAAACTCCACGTACCGTTGTGAATTCCATAACTTTCAGTATCCATAAAGTTAACGCTAAATTAACAACTATTAATATCGCTAGACTTAAGATGAGAAAGTAAAGGCATTTCTTTCGCCACCCATACAATCCCAAGTAGAATTCTTCACCGCTATTGGAGCCCGTTGTTCTGGACTGTGCTGCGCTGCCAATCGCCTGCGAACTACCTATTCTAACATTATTGTTTTGACCTAAATTACGATTATTGTTACTAATGCCGGACGATGTTGTTGCCACCGGTGCCGTTGTGATATTGTGCTCGTTCAGGTTCGGATTTAGTGATGCCATTTTTGTTGACTGTGACGATCCCGTCGATCGACTCGTCTGCGGATCATTCTCATTCGGCAAATCTCTGTTGTAACAAAGAAAAAAAACGAAATTTCCATTTCGAAAATGGAACACATAAGATTAAACTGCCATTTGAAAAGAAAGAAACTATTCTAAATGTTTACATTTCAAAATGTATACAGAGATTTATACTACTCTATGTGTACACAGAATCATTCTGAATTATGCTGTTAAATAAATTAAACACTTATTTTTAGATACGATTACTACTAAATATTCTCATCGGAAACAAAACGATTCTCTTGAACATTTGCACATTCTCGACTTGCTACAGCACAATGAATCCAGTTTTACTTACAGTGTGAGAAGTTGCTTGCAGTGTGCATTTTCCGAAGTAAACGTCTGAAATGATAGAAATGCAAAATCACAGTTTGTTTAATGGGGCTTCATATTGCTTTAATTGATGTTTCAAAACTGAACAGATTTTCTTTTTCTTTTTGAGTTTGAATTTTGTTTGTATTTTTGCTTAAAAAAACTTTTGACATAAATCAATCACATACGGAATCACTTTCGTCATCACTTAAAGAATCGATTCTATTTTCATCTGTTAACGACATTCTATTTCTTAATTACTCAAAACTGATTGAAACAATTCCAATTGAAATATCTATCGGTCAATCGATGTACTTCGTTTGAATTCTGTTGAGTGACTGAATCAAAATCCCGTTCACACATACTTTGTGCCGGACAGGAATTCGAGTTTCGATTTAAATATAAAATGTGAATGATAAACAAACACACACGCTCACAACACGTTGAAATGATCAAGATCTCTGAACTGTGAAGCTGTGCAAAGATTTTCATTCGATTACGTCACTGATGTGAAGCGCCGTAGCTGCACGAACGTTGTAACAAAAAAAAGCAGCGTTGATTTTAAACATGCGATTAAGGAGAACGAAATAGTATCTCATTGAGATACAAACAAATCAGCGCCACAAATCCGCATAGAAAAAGACTTGCGACAAAAATAGCTTTATTTTGTTGGTTCATTTTTTGTGTGTGTGTGTTGTTGTGAATGACGAATCCAATTCATTTCACAGGATATAATAGAATGGCAGCTCTGCATTCGAACTCTTCTATTTTCTTTTTCTCGATTTTACTGAGTATTGCGATGCTTGAACGAACTTTATTCAACTTGTTGAAATCGGGCTAATTTATGAATATTGGATTTTATTGAAGAATGACGCTTGGTTTCAAACACAGTTTTTTTTTTTTACAAGTAGGCGTCAAGCCGGCAAAGAAGTCGTTCATTTTTTATATACATTCAAAAATGTGAAACATAAATTTCGTTCAAGACCAAAGGTTTATTTGTAGCGTCTTTACATGACACTTTCTGATTATTGCATTGAGTGGAAAGGAAAGCCGTTTCAACACATGAACAAGAAGTCTTCGATGAAAAAGAGATTTTCAACGTTTCAAACATTAATTTTACGGCAGAAGTGACGATAGCCATATCAATTAAACATGTGACAAGTTGTGCACATGTCATTCGTTAAAATGAAAAACACAATTTTTCATAATTTATTCAAAGAAAATGACAATCTCTATTTTTACTCCTGTTCGATACAATTTAAGTTTTGCGTTCCAAGAGAATGAAACTAAATTAGTGAAAAATCTCACACAAACGAAAGAAAAAAATCTAATTTTCCTTCGGAACGAAAAGAAAAACCATTTCAGTGATTGATTTAGGGAATTTGAGCTCATTGTACATTTATCACCGAAGTTTAGTGTTTTTTATTGCTGTTTCTTTCATTCGAAAAATCTGTGCGTCGCATTATATCCCGCCAGCACTGGGTCTTGCTATCTCTCTCATTGTTTACCATTTTGTGTTCGGTTTAACTTGAAAAATGCAATAAATAAGCAAGTAAACAAACAAACAGCCATAAGAATGGAAGTGGTGTGGCTGTACAGAAAGAGAGTGTGTGTGTCTAGTGGAGAAAATAGTGGCACAAGTACAACTTGAAATGGTTAACGCAATGAGTGGCTGTCTGTATATCGTGTTGTCGTTGGGTAAACATGTTTTTGTTGAGTTGTTCCGTTTAGCATTCAAGACGTGAAAAGTTTGTTGTTTCGTGCATGTGTGTGCATCGAATCGTGCCAGTGGAAAATAGTGACAGTAATAGTTGTTAGAATAATGATGGTAATCGGTTAGGAATCACGGAGAAAAGCGAAGATGTTGAAGAGAGAGAGAGAGTGTGGCACGACGTGTTGTACGTCGTTTTCGTTGTAAAAATGTGCGTCTCCTCTGTTGCATGTGTATCAACTCATCATGTCAGGGTTCGATGCAATTTTTCTCACGATTTTGTTGTGTCATCATCATTGCTGTTGTTGTTGTTATCGTCGTTGTTGTGTTCGCGCCACATTTGCTCACTGTCCTCTGATGCCGGGTGTGCATCATCAACACAAAGCCAAAATGTACATCTTCGAAGAACACAACAAGACGGACGGTGTGTTGTCTTCATAACTTTGGCTTTTGTTTCACTCACATGGCATTTGTGCAGAACTTCCATTTTTTACCGCTGACACCAGAGAGAAAAACGATGGCAACGAATTTATTTGGATTTTCGTTTAACAGTGCAAACTGTGGCAACGGGTGCAAAGTGGCGCTCTGTCATTACAGAAGTGGGTTGGTTGGCATTACACTTAACGACTGCATTTATCCCAACCGAAGTAAACTTTCGAATGTGCAGACAAACTGTAATGAATCTTACATCGTTGGCATTGTTGATGGCACAACGAGAGAAAGGTGTAATAAGAACACAAACACAGTGCGACGAGGACGCTTATACGGACGACATGTGCACAAATAGTTCATCTTAAGCAAATTGAACTGAGAACTTCCACGCAAAAAAAGCGGAAACAACTCCGCAGGAAAAAAATACGACATAGAGATGAAGAGAGAGAGAGAGAGAGAGAGAGAGAGAGAGAGAGAGGGCGAGTGGCAAACAAAATGTACAAGAAAACACACATGAATATGAAAATGTGCATACAGAACGCGCGCGATGGTTTCGATGTTGTTTGCGAGCTGCTGGATTAATATGCAACTGAGAATGTGTCTTAATGTTCACTTAAAATTTACAGCCAAAGTTAAATAACTTTTAATAAACTTATTTTTGTGCACTCTTTGTGTGTCTCGATGTTGAGCGAGAGTCGGCAGTTGCATTTTGCCCGAATTAACGTTCTCGAAATGATATTAATATTTTTCGCAAGTAGACAGACTTTACGAGTTGCAAGTTTGGGTGTGCCACCGTTGCATTTTGTCAGCGTTATGTTTCCGGTTAAATTCATTTCTCAGTTCACCCCGTTGTTGTTTCTTTTTTTTGTCGTTCGTTTGCCTCTTTTTGCCAATGTTCTGGAACTGCATAAGTAAATCGTAGCGAAAGTACTGTGTGTCTCTTCTGCTGACAGTGCCAAAGATACAACTTTAATAAAGTGCTAATTTGGAATAAATTTATTGAAGTTTTTCTCCAGCTACGCCGGCAAAAAAGAAAATCGTGTAAGATGTAAGTGCACCTGCCCTTTTCCAACCCAAGTGTAAACCTCGCAAAATGAAGAGAAATGTTGTTTTCAAAACTTGCGCCCGGAAATATATAAATCGGAAAATATAAGCGCTTTGAAGCGTATATCCTTGATTGATTGACACTTGTGCCAACGCCAAATAATGTTGATAATATTTTTGCATATCGATGGGTGAGGTGCTTCACAAAGCACAAATAACATTTAATTCACTTGATGTAATGCTATTTCACATGTGGCTTGCATCGGAATTATTGTGCATCCGACGAGCACACATATTTCCACACTCACGCCACTTGATAAGCATTATACACGTCCATACGTACCGTTCCTATATTTTCAGTGTGTGCCCTTTTTTATCGGTCACCTCGCATCTATTTGATTGTAATTGTTTAATGTATATGCACACGAGTGTGGACATTTGATAATGTTATTACGTTGTGTATTATTAAAACTAATAAAATCAAGCTATAAATGGCCTTTACCAAACCAGTGGATATTATCATTACACAATTTGACCGCGCTGAGCAACTCATCTATATATGTGCATTGTGCAACGTCCTCTTCATATTAAACCATGGCTTACGGTTTGTATGACAACGTGTGTTGCACATATGTTATTTTGTGTGTTCGCTTTTTGACCGATATTAATGCAAACGAGCTTTGGTGCACAAATGAATTTCATTTGCAGTAATTGATATTTAATTCAATAGCGGCTATTTTTTGGCCGCCGAACATTACTTATCAAATTTTATTTTTGAATGGAAAATAGTGAAAAATTAAAATACGCTTCAACAAGAACTGGTCATCATTTTTGCATGCGGTTTTTTACGATTTCCCTCCCAAAACCCTTCCACCATTTCGCGATCAGAATCAGCTTAGAGAACGAATGAATTTTACCCATTAACATTTGCAATTCGAAAAAGCAACGCTTTTAACGATTTAGTACATGAGCTGAATTGTTATTGATTTTAAATTCAAGTGAAAACGTCGACGAAAGCCCAACAGTGCCACTGTGCACTATGCCCACAAAAAACGCGGTGAAAATAATTAAAATATTAAACAATTAAATAAAATACATGGTGATACATTGAATAATGAAAATAAGCGGAAAAAGGCTTTAATTTGATGAGTGTGTTTATTGGCGTTGAATGTTTTTCAATTCGCACTTTTTATCGGTCGCAATGCCAACTCTTTTTTTTCTCATTTTTTGATTTTCATTTTGTTAATTCATGAAATATTCACATAAATGAAAAATCGACAATGAGAGAGCATGGGTGGTGAGAGAGAGAGAGTGAGAGAGTGTGGGATCGACTGGTGAGCGAGAGAATGCGATGCGAAAACAGCGGGCACACAAAAAGTGCAGTTTTAATTTATTGGTGCTACATTCTTGTGAGTAGAGTTCAGTTTTGAACTACCCATTGAAATATTTATGTAATACACAAGCCAAATATGACAACAAATATTAATAATATGAATATTTTTTTGTCATGGAAAAACACAACTCGCTCTCAACACATGTAACTTGCGAGAATTAGGATGAAATTTTTGTGGTTGTTCAAAAAAACGTTCCAATTTTTCTGAAATGATAATAATCACAATGAAATCGAAAGTAAAAGCAGAATCATTGATTTCCCTTTCCTTTCAATTTACAACACAAATGGAATCGTTTTTATTGAGTAAAATGTGGAAAATCTCTCTGAGAATTTCCATTATTGATTCTTTAAAATCGAAAAGTCTGCTGTAAAATCCAAGTTGAGCCGATTTTCTACTTGAAAATCTTGCAAAACTCCATTATAAAACCGTAAATGTAGCACATACATATA